TACAAATTAAAATCTGATTTTAATCTCAAGTCAAAGTTAACAATTAATTTTAACTACACATTTTATAGGATCTACAACTTTTCAAACGCACATTTTATCAATTTTTATCAAAATTTATTAAAAATCTAATTTAAAAGTAAACTTTTATTAGAGGTGCAAAAGAGTTAGAGAAATAATCCTTATCATAATGAAGATTTGAATATGCTAAGAAACATAATATTAAATTTTTTGTAACATAAAAGGTTATAACCATTTCATTCAGATGAATATGTTAAGCAACAAGTATTAAATTTCATGAAACATAAAAATGTGAGATCGAATTCTTTGTAACATTGATTTCTAACAGCTACCATAACGAGAACGAAACCTAGCCAAAAATCCAAGGCCTCCCACCTCCACCTCCACAATGAGGTCCGCTACAAGCAATACCGGTTCTGTCATTTTCGAAAATTGAGGCGAACTTCATAAATTTGGCCCTCATAATGCGGTACTTTAAGAATTCCATCGTCACAACAAACAATCTTAAAAAAAAAATTAAATGTGAAGGTAAATAATATCTATAACAATAGTGTCGACCAAAACTTGTTAATCCCATCTAGTGTGGCCATACATCCAACTTATCATACAATTATGTACATCTCATGGAAATTTTATTCTATAAGGCCATTATCCATTTTAACTTAATATGGATCTTTCCATCACTATATCACTTCATTTTGTACAACCCTCTTTAGTCTTTATTAAATCGTGATTCTCTTTCCTATATATCTTCTATAATGGGATAATACTTCTTTTTGTCATACAATGTTACACTGATCCCAATATTTCCCGTACTTCCTAAGAAATTGTATCATATTTTTTTCCTAAGTTCAATCTTGCTAGCCTCACAAATTCACAATGAGAAGATAAAATCAATCATTAATTAATTAGCAAATTCACCCAATGTCTCTTAACACAAAACCTGAATTTGGAACTGGACTTTGGACAGAGGTAAAGATTATGCATTCAATGTCTTATAACACCAAAACTAAATTTGGAATTGGACATAGGAGTGTCAAAGAAAGAAGTGCAAAAACTACATCATATTTTTCTCCAAGTTCAATCTTGCTCGTCTCACAAATTCACAATGAGATGATAAAATCAATTATCAATTAATTAGCAAACGCATCCAATGTTTCAGAACAAAAAAAAAAAAAATTGAATTTGGAATTGGATAGAGGAGAAGATTATGCATCCAACATCTCATAACACAAAAAAATTTACATAAACCAATACCCATTTCATTGTACTGGTGCCCATCACTAATCAACCTCCACTTCCCTATAATTCCTCCACAATTTTTTTCTTTCTCGAGAAAAAGAGAATTTTGAATTGGACAGAGGAGAAGATAGGATTATGGACCTTGTTTTGTTCATTACGTGCAGTGAAAATATGAAAAGAATAGTGGCACTGTGCTGTCTCATCACCGACGAGGCACTCAGTTTCAACTGCTTTGATTTTGGTTATCCTCGTCGCAGAATGGATTTCGTCTCATGTCATGAAATGCTTCGAAGGCCCAATAGGCGACTACGTTTCTTGTTTCCCTAGTAGAATTCTAGGGTTAAATTTGCCCAAAATATCTGAGACACCCTAAAATTTTGGGGCTGAGGCGTGGGCCTCATTTACCTCTGTCCAAAATCGAGCTTAGCTACAAGTTCCATCAATAGACTTTCCTTCTGGACCACCTACATTAGTCTTGGCCTATTGCAATAGGCTCTTCTACAACAGACCAGTTCACAACAACAGCGGGTTCTTTGGAAGACTCTCCGCCTCTGCTGGAAGGACTACAACTTTATCTTCTCTTGAGAAAACCCATGAATAAGAGCTGTTTGATCAGATGAAATTGATGATTGATTCGATGGATTTCTTGCAAATAGTGAGTGTGATATGTGTTCTCCACTATTTTTTTTGGAGTGTGATGGTAAGGATATGAATAATGTGGATTGGAAGAATTTTTTAGATTTGCATATGACAATTTGGGTATCAGTTTTGTGCGGTGTAAGAAGTAGTAAATTTAGGAGGATTATTTGTTGGAGTAACAAGTGCTTTTTAATTTGATTGATTATAGGAGTGAAGTTGTTTTTAAGATATCAGTTCTATTTTAGCCCCGTTTGACAATCATTATTTTCAAACTCTTCTTTTAAATATTTTTTTTAACTATACATTCACAGAATAAAGTTTCTTCATGTAAACCTAAAACTTTTCTATATTTTTTAACTATACATTCTTCTAAAAATCACTATTCAAAACTTTATTTTTTCCAAATAATAGTCCTCAAACATGGCTTATTATTATAGTATTAATGGGACTATAAATGAATTATTGTATTATTTGAATATTTTATCAAGATGGTGTATGGGGTGTAATTTCTTCCTTCCGTAACACCCGAACTTCTATGCATCATGATAAGTGCATATTTGTGCACTTATTGAGGCCATATTACTAGGTTTTTGTGTCCTTTTAGTATTGGATTTTACTTAACTTTGCTTAATTTTATCTTATTTCAGTTTTGGACCTGTTTCTAAACAATTGGAAAACAAAGAAGGATCAATTGGCCAATAAATGGAGGTTTGGGGACTAATATGCATTTGAGCAAAAGTTGAAGCACTAAGATTGAAGTAATTTGATGTGGAGGACTAAAATGGAAGAAAGAATGAAGAAAAATGCTAAAAAGAAAATTCGCGAAATTTTTATAATTGGGCAGCTGCCTAGTTATATTGGTCGGGCGAAGACTTCAAATAACATGAGCTAAATTTTATTCCTTGATAGCCGCCCCATTTTCTACTGGGCGCCTGCCCAGGCCAAGTCGGGGAAAAAATTCTGTTTACTTTAGAATTTAATTCCAACAAGAAAATTTCCGTTTGAGCCATGATATACATGATTTTTGGTGATCTTGTAGACATAAAAAAATAAATAAAAAATAAAAAAAACAAATAATGGGTTGGGTCGATTTAAATAACTAGCCTAATTAAATTTACTAAACTAAAGCCTATTAAGGCCTATAAGATTTTAAAGGCTCATCCCACTATTCCAAAATCCACAATTATTCAATTATAATCATTATAATTGAATTAATTAAGTGATTACCAAAATTAGTCACAAATTTTTCCTATAAATAGGACCAAAGGTCCATAAAGAAAGGGAGAGAAAATGTGAAGAAGAAAATCACGAAGTG